TTGCTGGTTCTGAAGATGGAAGAACCAAAATCAGTATTCAATCCCGTGGTCACTGAGTTTGATTCCGACTCATGGTGACCCCATGTGTTACAGAGCCAAACTGCTCTGTTGGGTTTTCTTGGTTGTAATCTTTATGAAAACAGATTGCGAGGCCTTTCTTCTGTGGTGCTGCTGGGTGTGTCTGAACCACCAACCTTTTGGTTAGTAGATGGACGCAAACCATTTGTGCCACCTGGGGACCTTGGAAGATGGAAGAGAGAGCTGGCAAGTCAAGGGCCGTGGGTGGCCTCCAGAAGCTAGGAGCGTCCCTCAGCAACAGCCAACAACAAAACAGGGGCCTAGTCCTCCAGCTGCAAGGAACTGAATTCCAACAACCACCTGACCGAACAAGGAAAGGGATCCTCCCCCAGAGACTCCAACGGGGAACGCAGACCTGCCGACACTTTGCTTTTTGCCCGGCGGGACAGAGAGGAGACTTCTGATCTACAGAACTGCAAGATGATAGACTTGTGTTGTTTACGCTGCTGAACCTGTGATAATTTGTTACCAGCCATAGAAAACTCATCAGTGCTCAGTAAATGCGGCCTGTTCAGTTCGTTTATTTTTTCATTTTTAGGCTACACCATGAACACTGTAACGTTTGGAACGAGGTAAACAGCACTTCCATCAACTCTGCATGGGTCATGCTCACGGGTAATTGCGAGCTGAGTTATGGAAAAAGGCCCGTCAGGAATCACGGAGAAACGAGGTCAGCAATGACCTGAGAGGGTGTCCATTGAAAGAGGGTCTAGATCCCACACCCCAGAGGGGAGGAAAAGATCAATGAGTGGAGATCATATAGACAGACTCTGAGCCGACACTCGGAAGCAGGTTTGAGCTGTTTAGTACAGCGACGGTGGCTAAGCAGGAGACGGTTAACGCTCCGTTAAGCACAGGTGGGCGAGTCCTTATTGAAGACGAGAGGGACCGTCCCCAAGACCCTCTGAATCAGAATCTCTGGAAGGAGAGCTCTTTGAAAAGGAAAGGGTTAAAGCAGGCTGTACCTCCCCCCTTCTTCCTGCTGGAGACCCCCAGGGGTGATGAGCTTGACCAGACCTCCCGTCAACACGCCTGGGCGTCCCTGCGTAAAAGTGCTTTCAGCAGGATGTGACTGTTCCTGGACTACGCACCGAGACCCTGAGCCTGGACGAGGGAGCCGCCCACTGAGAATGGAGGTGGCATGCCCACAGGCGCAGTTTGAGTGAGGAAGGAGTGAATGCGGGGGCTCTGAGAGCAGCGTCTTCACAGGACAGGACGCTTCACTGTTCAGGAGGGAGAAGGAAGAATGGAGGGAGGGACGGAGGAAGGAGGGAAGTTGGGGGGAAGAGGGAGGGAGGGAGGGAGGGAGGCAGGCAGGCAGGCCACTAACTCCATCCTCGTCCTGGTTATTCACATGACAGCTTATTCATCAATGGCTCTTCAGAGCCCTGCTTGATTAAGCCACTATCTCCCAAACCTATTCACCCAGAGAATCTTTTTCAGTCAGTGTCCTTCTGCAAACACCGGGAAATGCTGGCCTAGAGGAGTCACGAATTCCTTCATTCACAGTTCTAAGTGGCTCCTAGGAGCCAATCCATGGACCAGGCTACAACAGGACAGAAATGAGTCAGGTCTCTAAGAAGTATCCACCCACAGACGACAGATAAACACAACGTGCTTCGTCCACACAGTGGAGTATCACTCAGCTTAAAGAGACAAAGTCCTGATACACATTACGACCTGGTCGGACCTTGAAAACACCATGCTGAGTGAGCTAAGTCAGACAGAAGGACAAAGGTCTGATCCCACTTGCATGAGGCAGGCAAATGTATGGACACACCAAAGCTGTGGTTACTAGGGGTGGGAGGGAGAGGAAAAGGGGAGTCATTGCTTAGGGGGCTCTGAGTTTCTGTTCATGGTGGTAGAAGAGTTTGAAAACAGACAGTGGTGGTCACACAACGTGATGAACGTAATCGATGTCCCTGAACTGTATGTGTAAAAACTGTTGAATTGGCAAATGCAGTCATACGCCACAGAACGTCCGTTTGGGAAACATCTGACCGCATGTATGTCCATGATCCCGTAAGGTTGTAAAAGGCTTACGTACAACCCATAGTTATGAACCACCCCCATAAAGACTATTATATAAAAAATTCATGGTATGCACACTGGTTCATAATAACAAATGGGCACTACTTTGTGACACTCATAAAAACATTATCATTATCACTGTATTATTATGTTAAAGATGTTTCAGTGTATCTAGAAGTGTTTCTTTAATGCTTTTTATGCATAGAAATGTACACTATATACTGTATACTAAGCCAAACGTTCGACTGACGTTAGATATGAACCGTACCTAGCTGTCCCAATTTATGTACAAATTTGACTGAAAGACAGACGAAGGAACAGAACTCGTTCATCACCTGGCGACAGCCTGTATATAATATGGTGTTCGTACAATGTCCAAATCACATAGTGTCCCATTTCACAGAACACATCGTGGAAGTAAAGTGACACGTGACTGTCTACATTTATTTTACCACAGGTAAAAAAGTAAGTCAGGCCTGCCGTGTATGTCAACAACTTGCAGGCTGGCTCCAATCCTGATGTTGCCTGATTTGGTGAGTGTGATGAGGACCACCCTGGCAAACAAATCACCCGTCTCCCAGCAGCCTGCTGGCCCCCACCCCAGCCCCAACATGGCGTGTATCCAGTCACTCCGACACGGTATGGAACCAAAGTAGGCAGGCCTCACTTATGCTCAGTCCTGGTTGAGCCTCTTCTCATTCGGACACACGTTGGACTAAGAATGCAGGAGAAAGATGTGGGAGTCTGCTTCCATAGATTTACAGCCTCAGAAACCTATTGAGTAGTTCTACTCTGTCCTGTAGGGTCGCTGTGAGTCAGAATCGACTCGACGGCAATGGGTTTGGACTAAGAAATCAACCTTTATTAAAAGATATGTCTTAGAATGGTTTCTTCCCCTTTTTAGGGGTACATAATGATAAGTGAAACACTCCGGCGACTTTTGCATTTAAGATTTGAAGCCATGTAAACATATCACCCTTTTAAATGAAATGCAAATGTGCTAAGATCCCACCAAGATTAAATGTATGCATCGGAGGAGTAATGACCCAGCCTCTGCCTATCAACCTTGACATTTCAAAGATGGTTGTTACCACACATGAAAAGAAAGTGTTCCTTTCAGAAAAACCGGATTCTAACTAAGTAACATTGGGGCCAGGAGCAGGGGCAGGGTGGCAGCAGAGACGGGGCAGCAAAAGGGAAGTAAGGGGTCCCAGGAGGAAGGGGGCAGGGGCGGGTGGCAGACCAACTTCAGCTGGGTGTCTATTCGGCCAAGGGCAGACTCTACCCAAAGAATCAAATATGGGGAAGCCATTAACGATGTTTATCAAAAAAATGATCCATAAGGAAACTGTGTTAAATTTTAATTTAAACAAATTTCATAACAAATTAAACTGTTTGTGGAAGTTACATTGAAGCAGAAGATTTTAAATCTGTGCTAGCTTTCATAAATAGTGATGGCGCCGTAAGACGTGGAACAAGAATGAAGTAAGTGTGTGCGTGTGTGTGTATGTGGGTGTGTGTGTGTGTGGTGTGTGCTGTCAGTTAAGTTTCAATTACATACTGGGCATTGGGCTCATGACTTTCCACCTATGATCTCTTTTAATGTCACAAAAACTCTTTACCGTAAACATTATACCATTTCATACGTGGGAACGCTGCAACTCATCCGAGACAGCGAGAAATGCCGCTTCTCTGCCCCACAGTCTCTTATTCACCTCGTCTCCAGCAGATCTCACTGAAATGCTGCAAAATGCTCACAAGATCTGGACTAATTATTTTAAAATTTCTTATTGATACCAGAATCGCACATGTTGCAGTGGTAGGCATTAATAAAGTGGTCTTCTCTTCATTCATTTGCATAACCAGCACACACTTTTTCTGAACTTCTTTTTTACTTTTTAAAATAAACCTCAGCGGAGCCGAGACGCTAGGCTGCCTTCCTTCTGCTTTTGAATAAAAGTAGTTAAGAGAGAAGCCAAAAGGTTTTTTCCAGTGATTTGTTTATTGGGGTTTTTTTTTTTTTTTTTAGTTCCTTTTATCTTGTTGAAAACTTGATTTTCAGTTTTCTTTTTTATTTATGGAACTTATGTCTTTAATAGTGTCAAGGAGAGCTTTAATTCAGACTTCACGTTTCTCTCTTCTTTACAGTGCTGAGCTCTACAGCATCTGTTTTCACTTGGCAGCAACAGGCTCTGCTGGTTTACCCGGGCTGGGGAGCTGACCCTGCAGACTCTTTAACATCATCATGCATTCCCCTATGGTCCTAAGAAAATGACATCCTAGCCATTGGGGCATTTGCAGCGATGTTCAGAGTCTTGCCTGCATTGTACGCAGCTTCATAAAAATATATGCGATTTCTCCTGAATCACTCCACCTCCAAGCTCATTCCACCCAGTGTCCCAGCTCTCAGACGCCCACTCGCTACCAGACATCCCATAAACAACTTACTGTATCCAAAACATTGCTAGCTTAGCTTCTAGCATTTCAAAATCTTAGCTTAGGTTTTCATTTTTCAAAATCTTTTCGCTTACTTGGTTAAATAAAGAATGGAATTTCTCTCCTGCCTGATGTCCCACAGGTACTTAGAGTATGAAGAAGCAATCCCAGGCCATTGCCCAAACTCCACTGCCAGGCAGGTAGAGTAAACCCTCATTCCACGTTTGCAGGGGAAGTGAGCTCCCTGAACAGGCAGTATTTGCTGTGGTTGCATTGACAAAGCATCTAGGAAGCTTAGACTGTTTCATGAAGTGCAAACCGTGTTAAGACGCCAGCATTCTGGAAGAGTAAGAGTGAAACAGCCCCGTGTTTAACAGTCCCGTCTTTGACGAGGGCATCAGTGAACTTAAGAAGTTTCTGAAAGGAAAAGCTTAGGGATACTTCAGCATGCTCACCTGAAGAAACACGGTAATCCAAAGTGAATTGTTCACTTACGCTCCACGGGATGATGCTCCAGGCACCCACATCACCAACTCGGTCCTGCGAACAAGACGCGATCTCTCGGGGTCATTGGGAAAAAAGGCAGTGAGATACCAGAATGGGCCAAAAGCAAATTGCTAAATGACCACTTCCTATTTAAGAGGAACGCCTACCTACCCAAATGGAGATGCTTAACCATGTATATCCTGTTAAAAAAGAACCACGTGACTCTGAGAAATCAGTCACACCTATTTTAAAGTTGGTGGGACAGGAGGGACTGCGGTGTGGCTGCTTCCGGGTGGATTTTCAGTTTATGACCGTGGGGTTGTTCTCCCACGTTCTCACTCCTGTGCCTGATTTTGTCCTGTGAGCAAGGCTGTCAGCAGGCTGACTGGGAAGACGCCACAGGAGCCTGGTGGCCAACAGTGAAGGCTCTGGGGTCCTCGGCTGGGGACAGGCCTGGCTCCACCACAGGTAGGCTTCTCACCCTCTCTGTGCCTCAGTTTCCCACTCTGCACAATAAAGACTGTGAGAGTTCCGAGTGTTTTCAGGAGAAATGACTGGGTTAGTCTGTGGGCAGCCGTTAGGATGGTGCTGGAGGAGAGCAGGTCCTTAACAGGTACCAGCTATTATTCCTGTTTAGGGGTCCCTGGTGGTGCAAACGGTGAACACACTAGGCTGCTAGCCACAAGGTCGGAGGTTTCAGTCCACGAAGAGGCCTCTCGGAAGAAAGGCCTGGCGATCTGCTTCTGAAAAACCCAGTCACTGAAAACCCTAGGGAGCACAGTTGTACTCTGACACACACGGGGGTCACCATGAGTCAGGATCCGCTAGACAACAACTGGTTGTTATCAGTGTGCCGTTTGGGACGAAAACCACCAGTCCCCAAAAAGCTGGGCACACAATCTTTATGAGATGGCAGATGACATTTATAAAGCGTGCCTGTCATTAGAGAGATCAAGGGAGAGCGAGTGACGAGTCACCTGGAGGACTGATTTTAAGGTACAAATGATGTTTTGTTTTGTTTTTTAAATAGGGGAAAAAAAGAAAAAAGAACTCCGGAGCATACAGGTGTCCGCCACCACACAGGGGTTGCTGTGAATCAAGCCTAGGGAAATACCAGAATTACACAAGAAAGAGATTGAAAGGATCGATAAGAAGCAAGGCTGGAAAAGGTCCCTGGGTGGGGCAAACGGTTTGCTTTTTGCTACTAACCTAAAGGTTGGCAGCTCAAACCCACCCAGCGGCACTGCGGAAGAAAGGCCAGGTGAACGGCAAGGCTGGATTGACTCGCATTTTCACTGGTGAGAGTACTTTGCCTCCTCTCACTTAGTGAGCTTAAGATTTCCTCTGACACGGGGCAAGCTGTCCCCCCTCGTGTCTGAGATGACTCCTCAAGGCTGCCCCTCATCCTCCCTGACCTGACACCTGCTGACTGCCGGATGCTGAGAAAAGCCAACCCCTCCTTCCTGGCGTCCCTGGCACAGATACTTGTTGCTGACCGTGACCCCGGAGGTTCTGCTTCTCGCTGTGGGGCCCCAAGCACCTCACAGAGGAAGAACGGGTCACCTGGGAAATTTAGGAAACTGTGAATTGTCTTCTCCAGCCCCGTTTTTTCTACCTTCCGTTCCTCCTAAACTTCCCCCTTATGGTCTTCTTTAGCAGGAAGGCAAGAAAGTAAATCTTTGATAGATGCTTTAGCCCTGGAGATGGCCTTGCCTTAAAAAAAAGAAAAAGAACCAAGAAAAAGAAATTCAGCAAGTTGAGAAAAGCATCTCCATCCAAGCAGCTACACAGAAAGGCTGATGAACTGAGAAGGCTCCAGGTCAGTTATTCACCTTGAAAACGAAGAGGTCAGTTACTCAACCGGAAAACCAGGATGCTGGCCCCCTTTCAGAGAGTGCAAACCCTTCCCTTTTTGTCTGCACTTCTCCAAGAGGTGGGGGAGATGCAAGACATCTCCCCAGGGGTGACCTCCTCCCTACCTCCTCCTTGCCGGGCCACCAGAGAAGAAGTGAAGCTTTGAGAAACTTACTCAGCGTGGGGTCTGCCCTCCTTCAGTTCCAGTAACTGAGGCTGAAAATCGGGGGCGGTCCACCGGCCTTCGGGGTGTGTGATAGGTTCTTTGCCCCAATATCCCTTCAACATTTCCAAGTAAAAACCCAGATTATATGTTATCTTCTGGGAGTTCCAGCCCATTGTGTCTTTCTCTCTCTGAAAAATGCCCTATGTTGAAGATCCTGTTAGATTTTACTCTATTTAATCCTCCTCAAATTTAAAATTATGCTGTTCATTTGCACAGACAATAAGAGGTACATAAACAAGAAAGACAGTCTAGAGGCAGGTATTTTACGTAACCGATTTTTACAGTCTGAAATTTTGACAGTATTAAAAGTCTGCTCAGAACCCAGGTCCAGTGACCGTTCAGTAAATTAACGTCATAGTCATAGAAATAGCTTTATGTTTGTGTTGAGACATTTCTCAGGGAACCCTCTCCCTGGGCTCTTTGTTCTAGTCCGGTGGAGAGCAGAGAATATAATTCTCAGGGTGTTCTGTGCAGCTCAGGATTGATCAGAGCCCATTTATTTCCAATCACTGTTTTTAACCACTGGAATATGAAAAGGTACCTCTTTCAACTGGAGGACCCTGTAACACTTAGAATTAGAGGTAACCCTTCTCTATGGTGGTTTGAACCCACCAGCTGCTCTGCAGGAGGAAGACGTGGCAGTCTGCTTCCGGAAAGATTACAGCCTAGGAAACCCTATGGGGCAGTTCTACTCTGTCCTGAAGGGTCGCTAGGAGTTGGAATCAACTTGCTGTCAGTGGGTCTGGGTTTGGTTTTCTTCTCCCTGGAGACGCAGCAGAGAATACAATTTGGTTCCCCTGAGCAGGAAAATTTTTAAAAGAAACAATAGGAACTTACGAAAAGTTTGTTGGTTGTATAAATAAGAAAAAATCAAACACCTTAAGCAGCAATTATGCAAAGAAATAGTTTTTCTGTCAAACTGACTTCCTCACAGTTTATAGCAGGTGTTCCTTTAAGGGATGACAAAGGATTTCATATTTTTTTCAGCTTTGCAGATAAATTCCAAAGAAGATTGACACACAGAGATGATCAATATCTGCTGCTGAGGATGTGGCTGAAAAAGCCGACGTCTCTTCCACAGTTCAATGGACCCTTGACCTCCACTGACTTAACTATTCCTGAATCTAACATGAGGTCCCTGGTGGCACAAATGGTTTGCACTTGGCTGCTAACCAGAAGGTTGGAGGTTCAAATCCACCCAGTGGCACCACAAAAGAAAGGCCTGGTGATCTGATTCCATAAAGATTGTTGTTGTTAGGTGCCGTCAAGTCGGTTCCGACACATAGCTACTCTATGTACAATGAAACAAAATTCTGCCCAATCCTGCACCATCCTCACAATCGTTATTATGCTTGAGCCCATTGTTTCAGCCACTGTGTCATTCCATCTCATTGAGGGTCTTCCTCTTTTTTGCTGACCCTCTACTTTACCAAGCAGGATGTCCTTCTCGAGGGACTGATCCCTCCTGATAACATGTCCAAAGAATGTGAGACAAAGTCTCGCCACCCTTGCTTCTAAGGAGCACTCTGGCTGTATTTCTTCCAAGGCAGATTTGTTTGTTCTCCTGGCAGTCCATGCTATAGTCAATATTCTTCGCCAACACCACAGTTCAAAGGTGTCAATTCTTCTTCAGTCTTCCTTATTTACTGTCCAGCCTTCACGTGCATATGAGTCCATTGAAAACACCAGGGCTCGAGTCAGGCACACCTTAGTCCTCAAAGTGACATCTTTGCTTTTTAACACTTTGAAGAGGTCTTTTGCAGCAGATTTGCCTGGTGCAATGAATCATTTGATTTCTTGACTGCTGCTTCTGTGTAATCCGTAAAGATTACAGCCAAGAAAATGCTATGGAATCCAGCTCTGTTGCACATGGGGTCACTATGAGTCAGAATCAGCTCAACGGCAATGGGTTTGGGTATATTGTTTGGTGTCTAATGTAGGGTCTCTGGATAGTGCAACTGATAACTGAAAGGTTGGAGGTTTGAATCCACCCAGAGGCACCTTGGAAGAAAGGCCTGGCAATCTACTTCCAAAAATCAGCCACTGAAAACCCTATGGAGAGGGACACAATAGATAAGCCCTGATAGAATGGGAGAAAAATGTGGAAAAGAACCTCAAATTCCTTAAAATAAAACAAAAAAACGAATTAGACCTACGGGACTAGTTGAGACTGGAGGACTCCCCGACAGATTCTCTTCAAACCTTGAACTGACACTAAACCCTGAGGTCACCTTGTAGCTAAATGACAAATTGGCTCAAAAAATAATGAATATCACCCACAAGTACTGTGCTCCTTTTAAAAAGCACTTAAATGAGACCATAGAGTCAACAATTGTACATAGGATCACTGTGAGTCAGAACCAACTTGATGGCACCTAACTACAACAACTGTCAACAGATTACTTTAAAACAAAGATGAGAATGTAAGGGGGCAGGGAAACTAGAAGAATGGAAACAGAACAACCAGAATGGAAATAATGAGCATGTTTATGGCTTGTGAAGAATGTAACCAATGTCACTGAGCTACTTGTGTAGAAATTGTTGAATGGGAACGTGAACTGCTGTGTTAACCTTCAGTGAAAGCACAATAAAAATATTATTTAAAAAAAAATCCTACGGAGCACAGTTCTACTCTGACACACATGGAGTCGCCATGAGTTGGAATTGACTCCATGGCAACCGGTTTTTCTCTTTGCAAATTACCTGAATCAAGGATGTTTCCTCAAGGACCTGGGGCCCATCTCTTTTGAAATGTAAGCATCAGGGAAGGTCACACCCCTTCCTCCCAGTTTCCTGGAAGGAGATTAGCACGACATCAGGTGGCTCCAGGCCATAAAAACACTTGAAAATCAGCAATTTTATCTTGAAAACATGAATGCAACAGGTTGTATCCCCTTGGCAACATAAAGGTTCAAATTTCTTTCTGTCTTTGCAATCTCTTTAGCAGATTGCCTGGGAGCTTCATATTCTAGTTTAAAGCTTATTCAATAATAAAACCTTTATTTTTCCTCTATTTTTGTAGGAGGTTTTCGGGGTTGGGAGTACATTTTATTTTTAATTATATCTCCCCAACAAATGCATGCTGCGTTTTGGAACCAGCCTCCATGCTGGGTTGAGAAGCCCAAGCCACATGGAGAGGCCACACGTGGCTGCTCTGTTTGAGACTTCTGCGGAGCTCCCAGCCCACAGCCAGCACATTTCTTCTCCCTCCTCCAGGAGATGAGTGAGCCAACCAGCACAGTTGAGCCTTCAAACAACCCCAGTCCCAGCTGCCTCTGACTGTGACAGCATGAGAGGCCCCACTGAGAACCGCTCTGCTGAGCCCAGCCAGCCAATCAACGGGGCCATGAGAGGTCAGAATGCATTGCTGTTCTAAGTCACCAAGATTTGGGGTGGTTTGTTAAGTTCAATGGACAAGTGGAACAGTTCTCTACTCTTTAATATGTACTACTTAAGTAATGAAGATATGTTAAAACAAAACAAATAAAAATACTTTGTTAGAAAAAATAAAATAAAAACTGCCCTTCCCAAGAAAGTCAACAGTTAGAGCAGATGCTAGCAGAGGGAAACACAAAGAAATCAAGAACAGTGAGGGTTGCTGGGCAGATAGCAGGCTTAAAAAAAACAAAAACCAAACCTGTTGCTGTCGAGTCGATTCTGACTCATAGTGACCCTACAGGACAGAGTAGAACTGCCTGGTAGGGCTTCCTACAAGCAGCTGGTGGATGCCAACTGCTGACCTTACGGTTAGCAGCCGATCGCTTAACCAATGCACTACCAGGGTTTCTTAGGTACGTTTAAAAGTAAAATGTTGACTCCAGCAGAGGATTGGATCTATGCCACATGGTTTGGATCTTATCGTTCCCTCTACATAGAAATAAGAAAACGCTACTCATCAAATCGTGTCAGCAAGTTCTCCGCTGGAAGCAGAATTTTATAGGGCATTACACGCCGTGCTGACACCTCTAGTTTTGGAATTTACCGCAGTTTCCAGCTGCACGGCTCGCACGTTCATCACGAGTGCGGTGCTGTGGGCCCGGGGGTTTTCACACCCTCTGTTACACCACACCCTAAACTATCTGGCCTGGAAATTTTACTCCCAAAGAGCTAGCAGCCAGCCAGCATACCTTATCTGCTACAAATTTATTTTGCTGATAATTATTGCACACAGTACACAGTGATTAAGAGCTACAGCTGCTAACCTAAAGGTCGGCAGTTCGAGTCCACCAGCCGCTCCTTGGAAACCCTACCAGGCAGTTCTATTCTGTCCTACGGGGTCGCTATGAGTCGGAATTGACGTGAATGCAAGGGGTTTTGGTTTTGGTTTTGGTTTTGGTTTTTCAGGGTTTTTTTTTTTGTTTTTTGGTACATTACATGCAGGGACGGTTGCTGTTGCTGTTGCTGTGGGGTACCATCGAGTCCATTCCGGCTCACAGCTTCCCCATGTGATGGAGATGAACTGCCCCACAGGGTTTCCTAGGCTGTAATCGTCACAGGAGCAGATCGCCTGCCAGGTCTTTTGTCCCAAGGAGTTGCTGGTGGGTTTGAACCACCAACCTTTCGGTTAGCAGCTGAGCACTTAACCATTGCATCACAGGGCTCCTTAAACAAGGATGCTTAAGAGCATGCGGTTGATTCCCTGCCTTTAAGGAACGTGCACAGGTGATATCAGTGACCCGCAGACCAGAAGACCACGGGGGTGTGCAGCAAGGACAAAGGCGGAGCCAACTCTTTACCATAAAAAAATCCCAGAACAGACTTTGCTAGCTCGTGGGTTCACCAGCCAGTGGGCACCTCAAATCCACGTGTGAAGCACGTAGCACAGTGCCAGACAAACTTCCTACGGTATCTAGTGTACTTACGAATTTCTTAAGGGCTCTGACTCCGCTCGCCAGGAAGAGGATCCTTGTTCTCCTAGTTCCTGTCCCAGGCGTTTCCCCTAGACGCTCAGGCTTTGCTTCCCCCTGGCTCTGGGCCCTCAGCTCTTTGCTCAGAGCACCTCTCATCTCCACATCCTGCAGCTCTGGGGAAGGTGACACTCATGCCAGCCTTGGGCTCTGGAGTCTGCACCCATCCTTGGCGTCCGCCCTGGGCACCTGTCCTGGGCACCCTTCCTGGGCACCCATCCTGGGCACCCGTCCTGGGCACTGGTCCTGGGCCTACTTACCCGAGAAGGGGACTTGAACACTGAAAGCCCCAAAAGCAGCTCCAAGGAGAGGGAGAGATGGACACACTGGACAAGGGCAGGCGATGAGGAAATACAGGGTCCCACGCACAGAAAGGAGTCCCTGAGTGGTACAAACGGTTAACAGTCTCAGCTGCTAACCAAGGTTGGAAGTTTGAGTCCACCTGGAGGTGTCTTGGAAGAAAGGCCTGGCAATCTACTGCTGAAAAATCAGCCATTGAAAACCCTGTGGAGCACAGTTCTACTCTGACGCCCATGGGGTCACCAGGAGTCAGAGTCGGCTCCACGGCAGCTGGAGGAGGGGAAGGCTGGCAAACCCAGGTCCTGCAGGAAGCTCAGGGGCCCACTCTTGGCTCTCCCTTGGTGGGTCCCAGGATGCAGGACACCATCTGCGTCTTGCCAGTGACTGGACATGTCTGTCCCCACTTCAAGGAGATGATGTGTGGGAGGGCAGGACGAGGACTGAGATTTAGACATCCGAAACCATCCAAGAAAATAGCAGGTAGTCTGCGCCCTGTGGATGGCAACAGTGCCCCACCATTTAGCATTAAATAGGATGTGTACACACTGTAATTAAAATTAGAAACCTGTCAATATGCTGCATGCAGGGCCCGTCTGGTGATCATCTGGAAGCTGGGCCCTGCTCTCCCTGGGGTAGGAGAGTCCTCCACACCTGCCATGAGGCTGAGTCAGGAGATGGAAGACGACAGGCTCTGTTACCTCAGGTGCTGAAGGGGAGGAGAGGACCTGGCCACAAAGGGCTGAGTGTAGATGCTGGGGTTTCTGGTTTTGAGAGAGTCTGAGAGAATTAAGGAGGCGGGGAAAACAGCTTAAGAAAGGGCTACTACGGGTCAAGGAGCCGTGGTGGTACGGTAGTTGAGCTCTCAGCTGCTAACCAAAAGGTCAGAGGTTTGAACCCACCAGCTGCTCTTTGGGAGAAAGATGTGACTGTCTGCTTACGTAAAGATTACAGCCTTGGAAACCCCGTGGGGCAGTTCTGTTCCATCCTATAGAGTGGCTATGAGTCAGAATCAGCTCAA